TTTAACCCAAAAGTTGGGTTAGTCCATATTTGACCCAAAGTTGGGTTGAAACAACCCAGCATTTTTTTAGAGTGTATTTTTTAGAAAACCTTGGGTAAAATTATGATGAAAATAAGATGAATATTGCATGCAACACATCATCCCAAAATAAAATGCTCTCAGTTTTACATATTCTTCCAGTATGATGAATAAACCTGAACTAATATCACCTCTCTTTCTTGAATCCTTATTTGATTGGAATATTGAGAGTCAAGACATTTTTACATACACCTGGATTAAAAATCCTAAAAAAACTGTTATCTGTTAAATAACAGTTACAATACCATGTTAGCACATTACTGTTTGAAATTCATACCGTTATATAAAACATTATACTCTACAATCTTTTTAAGTGGGCAGTATGCAGTGTATACTGCACTGAATGGACTAAGCAGTATGCTAGTATTGTATTATGAGCATAAGCATAGTGACATGACTGTTCACTGTGAACACCACTATATAAACTGATTTAAAATAAACATTTGGATGAAGTTCTTTGTTTTATGGAATGGGTCAGTTCTTTTCCTCTTCTGTTTTGTAATATTCACACACTCTGAAGTCTCGGTTATCTCTTGTTTTTAGGGCATAGAGCAGTTGAAAAAGGAAGAGAGAAGATGGGCTAAAAAAACAAAATGGATGAACATGAAGGCAGTATTCGGACACCCCTTCTCGATAGCATGGTTAAGCCCGTTTTCCACACCTGACCACGGGAAGGCTGACCCCTACCAGTATGTGGTCTGAGCTCAGGAAGCTTTAAGCTAGAGACTTGAGTGCACTTGGACTGCCTTTATAAACAGCATCTTTTAATTTGTTTGTAATCCCGACTCAAACGGAGCATTTACCAGTGAGACTAAATCACCTTCATCTTCTTTTTTTTCAGGGAACAAATCATTGCATATCCAATTATCCTTGCCTCTATTTATTTTAATTCAGAACAGAAAGTGGATGCTTTATTATGTCATAATCTCAAGCATCTCTGCCTAGCTACATGGAAATGAAGATGAATGTTGCGCAGACAATAGAAGCCAATTTATGCTAATATAACCACTATTGTAATCTTGCCAGACTGTCCACAATGATAACCTACTTTCTGAAGGTACTTTTAAACAATCTGTTGTTATTTATTTTTTTATACCTAGCTACAGTATAAGAGCACTGACAACCATTCAATAAAATGGTTTATTATGCTGACAAAAAAACGTTTAAGGGCAGTTTTTACCAAGGATGATAACTGTAATGATAACTAAAAATCATTATGGGAGAATAGTGAAGTCCACACTACATCTACTTTCTAACAATAACGACACTGAGGAACAATGTCATTGAAATCAATCTCAGAACAATTTTTTTCCAGCTCATGAATTATTAAAAACAGTGGCAGCCAATCAGAATGCTCGAGCATTTATAAGCACTGCTGTTAAGGACATATAGTTATAGTTATCCTTATATTTATCATTCTTGGTGTAAACAGGCTTTAACATTTTTGACACTGGCAGTATACAAAATATAAAAAGTATATAAACAATATAGGAAGTTTAACAGGGGTGTAAATATGTTCTGACAAAGCTTGGATTCAAGTGATTCTATACTAAATGATGCAGTCGTGACATTTGATCATAAATTGCTTTGATTATTTTTAAAAATGGTAATAAACAGAAATGTAATTAAAGAGACAGTAATGGCAAATACTGATAAAGCGATACACTATTTTTTACATTCACAAGTATTATAGAACAGAATTTATTTATTATTAACTTCCATAATCAGTGCATTGTCAGCTCATTTCTACACCCCTGATTCTTAACATTGAAAATAAATCCATTTAAATGATAATTACTTTATAAATGTAAAGAATGTGTTTTGAGATATTATGAGTACATTTGCTGTTACACATAAGATTTTGAGTGATAACAGTACTGATGTTACTCAGCTGCCCTATCAGATTTACTTCCTATACTCAATATACACTCTGTACTTTTTTTTAGAGCTGATTTACTTGGTATGTTTCCATAAACTTGGTTTGCAGAAATGTTTAAGAAAGGAACAGGCTTAAAAAAAACTGTATGTTTTTGAAAACTTTATTGATTTACCATTGTTGCCATTGTTTTGGTTAATTGCATTTTACATTTTATTAATATACATTTTTGTTATGATGAACGGATGATATGTGCTTGAACTTTTAGGTGTGTATGAAACAGACAATCGTTCTGTTCTTCTTTGACAAATGATAAATAATTAAAAACCTGAACACTGTCATTAGTGCTTTATGTGACAATGTGTCAAAGTGTCTGACAGTACATCTCCTAAATGCACAAACATATGTGAATCCAGTCTAATGACATGAAAATCAGCAGCTAAAATGCCATTCACATTGCAAAATCACTGTGTTGCAATCTCTTAAGAGGTCCAAATGTTTCCAAATTTGCTTGGTTCTTTGTCTTCCTGTCCACTTCCTGTCTGTCTTTGACACTAACCTAGTTTTCTCCTTTTTTATTCTTTTGTGTTGTTTAATGAGTAGTTTCCTTGCTCAGTTTTTTGGGAATTAAAATGAAAAAGCAACTAATTATGTATATTTAGTATTAAATTAGGCTGATGTCCCTGTTTCATTGGTGTGAGATTGAGGTAAGCTTTGATTGCTACCGGTATAAAGACACATTTGTTCATTCGGCACAATGCATGCTATTTAAGATGGTCTGTTTTTCTTTTCCTTTAGATACCTCATTTGGAATGTGAAGGCATGCTGCATGCTCTGTGTTTTTAATTTGTGCCATAAAGTGAAAGTCGAACCATTTCTTCCAGTCGGGTTATTTCATATTAAAGATTAAACACCAGAAGCACACAGGTGCATGAGTAAAATGAATCGCCCCCCATGCTTTTTTTTTTTTTAGAATGGTAACCTTTTGTTTTCCTTTTCAGTTCAATCAGTGGAATTTAAAGCTGCAGTCCGTAACTTTTTTTGGTTAAAAATGATCCAAAATCAATATTTGAGCAAGTACATAACCAGCCAGTGTTCAAAACTATCGCCTTACTTTATCCCGATTCACAACGGTTAGCTTATAATAATGTTTTCTAATCTGAGTGGTACGGGTAGGTTTTCGCGGGAAATTCGAGCATGCTGCTGCGTCATTACGTCACGTCTGTAAACATAAAGAAGTTGTCCCGGCTACTAGGCTATCGCATGTGAGGATCCTGCAGGTGGCGGATCGTTTAAAGCCTTTTCTCACAGCACCTAGAATAATTAAATGCCAAAAAATCATTTTGATGGCGGATTGTAATCCAGAAAGGATTATATGAAACACATGTGAATGAAATAAATTATATTCCAGTTTTAAATGTGCCTCTGATTACAGATAGCCTGGGATTACACAAGATTTGTATTTTAAAGACAACCAGTTCGAAGGGAGCATAGTTTGCTTTTTGGGTTAAAAGAGTTTCTTAATATGAAATTCGAATGGTATAACAATTAGAGATTAGACTGTACAGAAATTGAAATCTACACACACACTATAGTCATAGTCACGCAATGCTGATGTTGTTAACATTCATAATCTGAAAATAAAGTATAACAATAATAATAATTTTCACGGTTTGATGTGATATGAGCTAATCAGTCGTTAGATTAAATCACCATTGGTAGCAGGATTTATTGTAATGCTTTTTTCCTCAGTTGGTCAGAACAAACGTGGCAGACTTGTTACTTGTGAAAATTCTTATTTGGGTCATATATTCCAAGACGTAGGCTAGAATCTGTAATTACTAAGTATAGGATTCACACCGGTGCGGTGACTTGACTGCCATGCACACTCCTCAAAACATTAGATTCATCCGAGCTGGAGCTGTGCCAGAGTACAACCCATGCAAGGAAGATAATTCCACAAGTAACTGCAATTCCAGGTTTTCAAACAGAGATGGCGACAAAGAGGCTAAACTTACGGACTGCAGCTTTAAGTTCTTTTTTTGCCAATATGGATGTTGTTTTCCATCTATTTATGGAGTCTATTATTTCATATCTCTCAAGAATCACAGCGGTGTTGTTTTTCTTTTTTTCAGGGCATTGAAAAGTTGAAGCGTGAAGACCATACGTGGGAGAAGACTCCATCCTGGGAAGCTATCAAGTCAGCGTTCGGAGGTGCTCTTTCCATTGCCTGGTTGAGCCCTTTCACAGATCTCTCATGCCAGAAAGATACTTTGGATCCTGTTACCATGTTCCCACAGGGTGAAATCATTGAGGAGGATGTGATTAAGATTCCTTTGGAGCATCATTAGATCAAAAACCCTGAGACTCAAATGGCACATTTCCTGCCTTGGACTTGCAAAGAGACTACTGTGGACATTTGAATATGGACTGTTTTTTTTTTGTTTTTTTTACCTATGCAAAAAACATTTACGTACTACTGTACCAAAGTGCCTTAAAGCAGTATTTAAAACCAAAAATACAGCTAGCTCTTCTAAAGAGAAACTTATACTGTGCATAGAGAGATTGAGCTCCTGACAGTTTCACATAACATGTACTTCATAATGCCAGCTGTTCCTGCAGCAGTGATGTCTTTTAGTTTTGTGTATCTATATGTTTTATAAGACCTAGGATATTAATAATACTGTATTAAGTAGCTGTAAGTGAATTATTTCCTATAGGACACTATAAAGATGCATCATTGCAGTTAAATAGTTGTGTACTGTATATGGTTGAAATGCCTATGTCACAAGATTTTTTTTTTTAAATCACCTGCCATTGAAACACTATGAAATGGATGCAAACCAATGAATATACAAATTCAGGTGCAGAATCTGACAATATAAAACCATGGTGCTCATTTATAGACCCTTCGTGCCTTTTCCATAATTAGCAAAAATGCATGTAAGACTTACTGTATCATCCCAGGATTTTACTGATATTTTACAATTTTGTTGTTCTATGGCATTGTTCTTTCTTTTTATTGTATTTATGGCCTTACTAACTGTACATCTTTCCATTACTGGCTACATTATTGTTATTTGTTATGTTCTGGATTTTTTCCATTATCTGATGTTTCCAATGGCTGCACACTTTCGATTTAAGCTTCTTCAAATAAATGTGCTGGTTTTACAAGTCCATTGTTGTTTGAATAAAAGTGTATGGTTGCAGGTGGGCTATTATACACCCACGTAGTGCCAGGTCAACTTTCAGATGTGATTTCTGAGTAGAATGCATGATAATGTCCTGCTGTGCTCAATAGATGCTGCTTTTGTGGTTTCCCTTTAAAATAGAGTCCAGGTCAGTGGTTTGACACACAATAGTCCTTTAATAACCAAAAACATTTAAACACTATCAGTGTGTGCATCCTTTTGACTACATTGTTCTGTCTGGAGTGCTAGTTCAAGTTTTACTTTGGAAGACTTGGAATTGAAAAAGGATGTTTCAGAGAAAGTTGAGAGGTGAAACAAAATTTCATTTCAGATCCACAGCTGCATTTGGTCAAATATCATAAACATAAACATATTTCAGGTCAAAGTAATAAACAAGAGTGTAAACTGATTTATTAAAAACTTGTAAGTAACCCACATGATTGAGGCAAGGTATAGAGCAAGTCCATTGCATAACTATAGGCTCAAAGTCATACACATTTCAAGGCTTTGCATCGTGTCATTTTTCACATTATTAACAAAAGCAATCCTACGACAGAAAAAATATATACATTTAGCATAGATAATTCTATCATACAACTGCATAATTCTTATTAGCTCTTTCACAGCCTTTCACTTGACTGATTTTACTTCAAGCATTGGATAAGGAATTGTTGCTCCCTGTATTCTTCTGTCAATCATATTTCTTATCCACATTTTCCTGTGGAGCCTGAGGAGTTGATCCATGCAAGACGTAAAGCCCTGTCAGGGTCAAAATGATACCAACCCACCACAGCGTGGCATGAGTTTCACCAAAGATCACATGTCCAAGAAAAGCCTGGAAAAAAGACAATATTTAATCATTAAATAACTGCTTTCTGAAATGAATTTGAGGGTTTGGGGTGGGGGGGGGACTCACAGAGGAGATAAAATTTGAGGCAGTGGTGGTCACAGTGGCCCGGGCAGAGGAAGACGAGTGCCTGAGTGCTTTGGCGAAGAAGGTCCACATCACAGCATTGCAGGTGAACAGAAGACCACCACAAAGCAGCCGCAGGGGTATATGTAACTGTAATCAATGACATCGTGTTCATTACAATGACATTATGTTAATTTAAAGGGGGGGGTACTCACAGAGGAGATAAAATTTGAGGCAGTGGTGGTCACAGTGGCCCGGGCAGAGGAAGACGAGTGCCTGAGTGCTTTGGCGAAGAAGGTCCACATCACAGCATTGCAGGTGAACAGAAGACCACCACAAAGCAGCCGCAGGGGTATATGTAACTGTAATCAATGACATCGTGTTCATTACAATGACATTATGTTAATTTAAACATAGATGCATATATAGAAAACTTCTTACCCAGTCACAAGCTGTGGTATCAACTCCATCAGTGTTCTCCTGTCCATCTGTCCAGATCTTCAGCCCTGTTTCACACACATCTTTCAGATAAACAGCACCCAGGGACAATTTAGCAGAAGATGATGCTAAAGCTGCTAGAAACCCCGCCATTAAGGCATAAAACACGCCAGGCAACATAATTCCAGCTCGGTCCGACTGAGTCACTTAGACTCGACTGTGATAACAGTATTATTTTACAGCCATATTTTGCATTTTAATACATAAAATGATAATGAAACTTCCTATACTGTGCATCACAGAAATAAATCACACAGGTAAAGAGAGACAGCCAGCATTAAAAACACGGTAGTCATTAAATGGGCGGGACTTGTGCTTGCATTGTTGCTAGCTCTAAACAAGAATGTCGTATTTTAAATATGTATATCATGCATTTTCAGTTTAATTGCTTTTTAATGTTGAAGAGAAATTATTTGGGCGGAAATTATTTTCACTGCTGAAAAATTTGTAGGCTTTATGTGAGCAGTGTTACTTTTCTCAACGCTTTTCATAATGAACGAATCACAGCCGTTTGTGATAATGGCTTAAGATTTATTTAAAAATCATTTTGTCAAAAACTTTTTTTTATTTTTATTTAGCTTGTAAAACTTATAACAACCATTAAAAAAACTATACATTTAAAATCCATCGTTCCACGTAATAGTGTACCAATGTCTCCAATAAGGTAAAAAAAAAAAACACTTTGTGATATGAGCGTAGCTCAGTGGAGATTTCGGCTTTCTGAGCCACCAAGCGCCTCTTGAGGAAAGAAATTGTTAGCAAGTAACATTTAGATCCCAATGTAGGAAACAGAGAAAGCGCTGATTGGTCGTTTACAGACGCGTATTGATGAGGTTGCATGTACGCAAACTTTACGCGCCTGGTTCTTGAGTGTTTCGTGTTTGTAAGCGCATTTACAATTAATCAGACTGATTTGAACTGAAACACAATGAGTAAAAAGGGTAATGTATCATGGGTGAAGCCTGCCGAACCATCTTTTCTGAAGAAATTCAAAAATGATGTTGGTTTTAAAGAAGGGCCGACAGTGGAGACTAAAGTAAGTGTTTAATCGTGCCTCAGCGTAAAACAGTGCTGCCTGAACGCATGTATATACAATGTTGTCTGTAGGCAGCTCACTAGGTTTTCATACGAAACATTTATTGCATTCATTTTTGTTGTAGGAAATGGAATACCAAATAAATGTTGTTGTTGCAGAAGCAGCAGATGCCGCAGTTGGATGAAGACAGTGGTGACAGTGATCGGGAGGACGAGCTGCCGCAGGTCGTGGTCTTGAAAAAGGGAGATCTGAGTGCTGAAGAGGTTATGAAAATCACAAAAGATACAAAGGATTCAAACAAAGGTAATGCACAGAGACCCCAAAATAGCGATCAAACCACATCTTTCATGCAGTTCTGAGCTTCTCATCGACCCATATATGATGGTGGACCAAAATACTCAAAATGCAATAATTATCTCAATGAAATTACATAAAAGAATAATTAAAGGTACACATTTAACATTCCATGAATAAAAATGCAATATTTATTATTTAAACATTTCATAACTTATTACTAGTTCTTTCATAAATCGAATAAAATAAATATTGGTACAGTATTCATATAAAAGATGTTACAAATAATATTAATAAAAAGCTTAATTTTAATGAAACTAAAATATTTTGGTATTTAATCTTAATATGTATTTAGTTAATCAAATATTTTGGTCCTGCACATTTGGTGACTGTTGCTCTGAATGTGGTTGGTGAGGGACTTGGTAATACTTGCGTAGCAATGAAAAGATGATAATTATGCAATCTTTCTGGTCTTGCTGTGAAATTGCACTCATTTTCAATATTTAAACTGCTTAGTGGCTGTTCTCAAAAGTTATGAAATAAAAGTCTGTTTCCATTGGTAGACTAACTGTAGTACAGACTACATTGATAGATTGAAGTGTTTTGTATCCCTATTTAATATTATAAATATATAATATGTAACTTCTGATTATATCTGCCTTTTTAAATGTAATACTATTTCTAAATCTGTTGGTGACAGATTTAGTTTTGACACATATAAATGTTTCTTGTAGCAAAGGATGGCAGGTAGATTTTTTTAGTAGTCTTGAGTTATGACAGAAAAAGTAAAAAATCACTCCAGTCTTCCCTAATGTTCTGGTGTTCAGCAAGTATAAAGTCATTCATTAAAGTAAATGCTTTAATTTTCTCCAGATGAACAGCCTCCACCGGATGGGAAGATCGTCTTTAAGAAGCCTGTCAAACGCTCCTCTGATAAATTCGAAGGCATTACTGCTAGCTCTAGCAAGAAGAAGAAAAGTGAGGATGGTGAGAAGAAAGAGTCAAAAGCTGGTGTGAAGGTGAAGAACAACAGCCTGCTGTCTTTTGGTGATGATGATGATGATGAGGAAGACTAGCTTGACAGGGATACAAGCATCTATTTGAGTCAGATTGTCTTGGACTGCTTCTTGCAAAGACCAATCTGCTCTTTTTTAAAAATATATATTTGTTTGTGTGTGTGTGTAAAATAGATGTTTGTGAGATTGGTCAAATCCATGCAGCTTATTTGTTATGATATAATTTTATAAAACATGAGTCATTATGATAACAGTGTAGGTAGGAAGTAACAATATATGATTTATTTTACATTATCATAATTGTCATTAATGACACTTTTGAAAGACTATGGTGATGATGGATCGAAAGAGAAACAAAAACATCTGGGTCAATTAGAAATGCAAATATGATTTCAAAGATGCTCTTAAGTGTTTCATAGAAATCACTCATGAAATCCAACAGGATGTACAGATATGGCTTCTATAAAGGAGCTGTTCAGCTTCCTTTTATTGTTTTAGGTTTTTGTTTTGCAAACTGTTGACACTCAAAATCCCTGATTCTGGGACATTTGGGGTTGTATTTTATTATTAAATACATTTCGAGGAAAGAAAAATCATGCATTCTGGAATAAAATGTTTTTACCACCATTTATCTTGTGCTGCAACTGAAATTTTGAAAAAGTGTTTTGAATATAAATCATGTGTCTGTTCAGGAAGGAATGTCTTTAAAAATGTAAATAGGGTACTTTATCACTCTTATCAGGTTGAGTAAAATGACACTTTAGGAAAGGAGGACTAAATACAACCAACAGTAGTTGGCACATAAGAGATACACTGATATTAATATACGAATAACTTCCTTTGTATGTTGTGGTTCTCAACGTTTTTTTTACTCAAAAGCCGCCCCAATGTCTAAAACAATAGTCAAAAGACCCCTATACAATATTAACAACTTTATATAATATATATTACATTTTGCTTCATGTTAATTAAATATATATGTGTATATATATATATATATATATTAGGAACCAGTAGTGCTATAGGTACATAAATTAACCACAATTCATTATGTGATTCCAGAAGTTTCATAAACCACCATTTTAATGGAGTTTTCAGTTCCTTATCTTCATTACTTGTGGGCTACAGCCTAACATGGGACTATTTTATGCTACTTTAAGATCTTAAAATGTTGCAGTTACAATGTTGCTTCACATTTAAACCAATATAAATACTTCATCGAACAAATATTTAGCACAGAGATTACTTTATTGGTTACTTTCAAAAGCAGCATTTGTTTCAACGTTCAGCCTTGTTGACATTTGTTAGAACACACAACTCGCAAAAATAGTCTAATTCTCAGAAGAAGAAAAAAAACAGGGCGGGTTCATATATCAACATGAATACATATATAATTAATCCACTGGAGTGTTAGACTCAGTACACTGCAAATATTTCCACAGCTGAATACTTGTAGTATGAATTAAACTCTGAAAAGAATAAAAACAACACCGGAATAATATGACACACTGTAACAGATACATGCTAAGAGCTAGTCTTGAGTTAGGTATGACCTAACAGATCTATCAGCACAGTATAGTGCTAAAAAAGAAGGCCATTTATGGATCCAAACACTAGCTGCTCCCGTAATACACTCCCTCATTTGAAAACCCCAGATCTTACTAAATCATTCCTTCATTTTTTTCATAGTACAACTAAAGATTTCATTAGTATTTTAATGCTAATCTTCATAGAAATGTGAGTTATTTAGATATGGTAGTTGATCAGCTTTTCTGGATGCTAAAACGGTTACTATTTAGGGCTTCAATGATTGGGGCTTCCAATGCATTCTTGAAGCTTAGATATGCAACACTGTATTATTTTTACTGTAACATGATAAAAAGACAACTATGTCATTCTATAACACGTTTTTATGTTCCCACTGTCTTGAAAGCACTTAGTCTTAAAAGGGGGTTGCTGGGAAATAGAGGTGACTGATTTGAGCCCCTTTTATAGAATATATTGTCCTTTAAAACAAAACAAAAAATTCCATTCAAGTATTCGTTGACCTGTGACAACTGTTCCTGACCAGTGAGGAGTTAAAAGGCATCTTCACAGAAATCTAGTTTTACTTCATCTACCATGACCCAAAATGTTCAGTGTAAATGGCAGTTTCAACATTTATCAGTATGAAACTAAGCAATTAGAGCTGAAATAACGAAAGTTTTAAACCTAGCTTTTCGTCAATGTATAAAAGTATCAAACACTGGTATTATGCTGGTTCTACAGGATCTTAAAGATTGTAACGGAGGTGTTCTAGTCGTGTCGTGTTGCTCTCAATTTGGACGTGTAGTGAGCCTCTATGATGCGATCTCTATTGTAATTTAAAAAGAGGCATTTCATCTCGTCTGTCAGTGAGGTGATATTGTGGGCCATCCACAAGAGGGCAGTCAGACAGAGAGAAAATAGTTAAAAATGCCATAAAGGCTCAAACAGAATAGATAACAACACATGGCTTTTCTGAAAAATCTCTTTGAGTACACTGTCATGTATGATAACAACAAACCCCTGAGTTCAAGCCTAACCAGTAGTGTAAAACTGGACCTGGGACAAAAAGAGAACTTTAAAATATAACATTGTATGAGTATATTAAGTAAAAAAAAAAAAGGAAGAAAATGAGAAATGATGGAGGTAGGTCCACCTAACAGAACACAGGGGATGGTGGTGGAGAAGGGGGACACCGTGGTACTCTCACAGGTGCTCTGGATGGCTCTGCAGGCAGGTGATCATGTCCTGAACTGGTTTGCCCTCGAAACAGATCTGATAAACAGCCGTGAACAGGGGGAACCTGGAGAATAATGTAGATTTGAGATGTCACCAATTTTGCAAATGCATCTAGACAGAGAACACAGCAAGTCATTTAGCCCCCAGGTTGCTCCAGGTGGACTGACACTGCAGTAGAAAAGTCACTCTGAATAAGACACTGTCTACTACAGTACATTAGGAATGGTGCAATGTATCCAGCACTTTCCATAAATAGGATACAAATTAGTGTCCTATTGATTTTTCAAGCAAGATCCTGTGATGGCAAATCTGAATTTTCAGCAGCCATTACTCCAGTCTTCAGTGTCACATGACACTTCAGAAATAATTTTAATATGTGACCCTGGACCACAAAACCAGTCATAAGGGTCAATTTTTCGAAATAGAGATTTATGCATCATATGAAAGCTGAATAGATAAGCTTTCCATTGATTTATGGTTTGTTAGGATAGGACAATATTTGCCCGAGATACAACTATTTGAAAATCTGGAATCTGAGGGTGCAAAAAAATCTAAATATTGAGAAAAT